CCGCCGCCGCCCCCCGCGCCCCTCCCGGCCCCCCCAGAGCACCAGCAGCCATTTCATCTCCACCACCACCACCACCAAGTAGGCGCAAAAAATGGCAGAAATGGAGAAAGAAGGGAGACCTCCCGAAAATAAAAGGAGCAGGAAGCCGGCTCACCCGGTGAAGCGGGAGATCAACGAGGAGATGAAGGTAGGTGCCTGTGATGGGGACGGGAGCGGGGTCCCCCCCCGCACCCCCCGCCTCCGAGCATGGAGATGAAATAAGAAAGGATCTCTTGTCATTTTTTTTTTTTTTGTAGGATGCACTGAATGTGTCTCAACTCCGCCTCCTGGGCTGCAAACAGAGACGAATTCACAGGCTGCAAATCCTGTTCATTGACCAGCTTTATTTATTTTTTAAAAATAACTCTCTCGTTGGGCTTTTAAGCTCCTCGGGTGCCAATGATGAGCCTTTATTTTTCTTTTTTTTTTTTTCTTTCTTTCTATAGCCACCCCCTCAGGTAGCTGCGAAGCCCTTAAAGTTAGGAAAGAAAGGGATCTCTTTTAAACACTGTATTTCTGTCCCTTTTTCAGTAGCCAGCTGCAACTGTGTAATTAAATTGTCAAAGTGAAACGTTGCGGTCTGTGCCGTGCGTCTGTCTCGCACTTGAGCGCGGAGACCCCTTTTCTCTCCTTGTCCCTCTCGCCTCCTCCTGTGCCGCACCGCTCCGCTCCGCGGCTCACGGCAGCGCGGAGGTGTCGCTGGAAGGTGGCTTGTCCGAGGGCTGCTTTTGATGGAAGTGTGTTTACCGCGCGGAGGGCTGTCCTGCCTGATAGGAACCGGTGCCACTCCAGCTGTGCTCTGGCGGCCGCTCCAGATGTTGGGATGGCTGCGATGGCACAAACCCGCTATTTTGGAACTTCTTTTATCATTAGGTCGCTGTTTCAAAGCTGGACCGGTCCTATTTTTTGCGCCTGTTTGTTTGGTGTCTCTAATTCCCCAAAGTTGGTAACACTGTATTGCTAGACTTCAGCTGAACATGTTGTTGTTAAATGCGCAGATAAAGTGACTAAAACAGCATAGTCTGGCTACGAGATAAAGCTGCCGAGATTTAATTTGAATATGTCATTTATTAAAAGGCTGATTGTAAGTGGAAGACTGCCTGGAAAATGTCAGTCGTTCACATAGTATGTATACTATATGGGCGAGTGTATAAATATGCATGATGCCTAGTGAAAATATCTTTGCTTTCCGGAACATTGATCTCCCTATATAAAATTAAACGGGAATGCGCCGTCCCCTCCCCTCTCCCCTCTTTTGCACACCACTGATTTCGCTTAGGTGCCCTTTCCTGCCCAAGGCAGGCGTTCTTGTTCTTGCTGCCTGTGTAATGAGCGTGTTCATGGTTTTGTGCGCACTTCAAATGTAAATGTGGACAGGAGTAGTATTAGGGGCACAAACAAAATAACGTGTTGGTGCATCTCTTTGGAAACAAACTGTAGTAGCTTCAAGTCCAGAGGAGTAGGACCTTTCTTTGTGAGATATGTGACACATCCTATTTTCGGAGAGGGCTCTGTGCAGCCACCGGCGAGTCATTGCTCACTGTAATCCCACATAGTTTTGAGGACTGCAGAGGTCTGTAGTACAGGGCATTGGCCCCTCAGAGCATCGCCTAATGCGATCTATATGGATTGCAGCTTTTAAGTTTCATAGGTTCTAGAATTACAAATTAGCTAATTTTAATCAAAACATGTGAAATGTTATCCTGGCTGGATATAAAGGCTGACTGTGCTGGATCCTCTGGGTTTGTTTTGTTTACTTTGGCTGCAGGCACACTCAGCGGTTTGGGAGATAGTTGTTCTTCTACAGTATAACAGATGTTTGTCTGAAAGGGTGAGGAAGAAACAAAAACAACATTGTGTGAAGGAGAAAAATTACACAATTTTAAACTAATGCTTTGGTATTAAGCACTGGCATTAACCTTCGTGTAGAGAGCTTCTCTTTTTTAATCATGACTAACTGCTTAAGGTTAGGAACCTCAAGATTTCAGCTGACTTGAAAACTGAATGTGTGTAGAAAGGACATTTTGAACCCATGTAATTTCTGGTTGAGAGTGAGACAGCTGATGGCAAAACCTTCCATAGCCCACCTTTGAGCATAAACTGTGCTATATATGCTATGCATTTTCAGTAGGACAGTTGGCTGCTATCTTCTAAGAAGGGAAAAAGAGGGGAGAAAAAAGAAGTAGTTTGAATTTTTGACTGGTTGAGAAAGTTAAAATCCTGTGGCAATCGTTTACCCTTTTTCTTTACTGATGAATTAAGACGTCTAGTTGTTCTTAATAAACCCGGAGAATACAATAATGTAACAAATTGGTTACAGTGTGCAAAATGCAGTGAAATGACAGAGGGAGCACAATGTGCCCTTGTGTAGGTTTGTATCTGTAATGTTCAAACAGACTGACTGTTTCCCTTCATCTGAACTGCTTTCATCTGGACCAGTGTAAAATAAGCTCTGGTAAGTAATCACAGCAGAGTAGAAAGAAAGGAATGTATACAGCAATAGACAGCCTAAGCTGTAAAAACTGTAACCTGAGTATCAGCAGCAGATCAGATATCAAGGCTTTAAGGTAGGGGAAATGAAAGAGATGAAGGGGAGGAAAAGACGAGAGAGGGAATGGAAAAGTCAGCTTGGAAAGTAAAGGAGAAGTAGGAGGGCCCCCTCAGGGAAATTTGGCTCAGGGGTTAGGGAATTTTATCATGGTGTACAGTGACCTACTCAGGTTTCAGCCCACGTTGGATCGAATTGCCTCCCTTTGCAAGCAGAAAGAAAAAGGACTGGTGTATATGCGATTTCTTTTTGTCCCCCCCTTTGGATAATAAAAAGGCCATTGGTACAAGTGTCTATTTTAAGTACAGTAAATTCAAGGTACTATGAATGAGCAATAATATTACCTCATCACAGATACTTCCTTCGAGATTTGCTGTTTGATACAGTCAGGCATTTACTTGAGGAGGATCACAACACCTAACTGCTTGCTTTAGTGTTTTCCAACAGTAGTGTCACAGCTTGGTTTTAATATGACTGGATGGATATTCAGGTTGCTCGCTCTTTCCTTATGCCAGATATTGAGTTACGTTTTTGTTATCGCTAACCTAATGTACATGATGGTTATTACAAATTTTAATTTGATACAATGTTGTGTGCAAAAAGTACATGACTCTGCACAGTTTTCTGATATTACGTTTCCATGAAAAATATATTCACGAGGAACTGTTTTGTTACACTGTGACCTTTATAGCCACTCTTTCATATTTTCTTGTTTTTTCTTTTGTCCTCCTTCCTCCTTCAGATGAGACTTTCCAGTTTTTCTTCCAGAGGTAGCATTCACCTCGCACCTTGGAGGAAAAGCAGATAGTTATTCTGAAAATCAGTTTGGTGCCATTTTTCACTTGCTGGTGAATAACAGAAGGTCCTCTTCAGATCCAAATCTATTGTCATCAGGGAACCCACTACTATTTTAAGACTAAAATATTTGTTAAAGTTTAATTGATGAAAGCGCTTGTCTAGGCACAGTGGTGGATCCCTCATCCATCTCTCCTCAGTTTATTTCCATTTGCCATCCTGCTGCTAGGTAGCAGTGCTGCTCAGGAGGAATAGCTAGGTGCTCTGCAATGTGAAGTGAGGTTGCATCCAATACTGAATTGCACTGGAAGTTCTCTTGCACAGATGAGGCAATGTATCCATGTATCTCTAGCAGTTGAAAGGTAAGCAGTTAATTTGTGGTGTAATTTCACAGGGCTGCTCCATGTGCCCAAGGAGTTTGCTGTCCATAAATATTCTCAGAAACTAATTTGTATATAAAATTGGTCTTTGTTCCTGGTGCCTAAAGCTTAGGCAGCCCCATCTGTTATCATTTAATAGTAAGCTCATCAGAATATCTTTCAGTTTAGTGTTTAAATAGTCCCTGTTTGGCATTTGAAAGTCTTACTGTCAGAAGGAGGAAAGTGGTGAAGCAGGCGTAGCAGCCCTATGCCTGGAGCGAGCCAGTTTGCTCCGAGCGCTCGGAAGATTCCAAGGAAACTCCTCCCTTCTCTCCTGAAAAGCAAAAAATATCTTTGGGAAAGTGGAAAAGCAGACAGACTTTATCAATTGTATTGTTTCAGGAGACCAAGGTTTTTCTGTGGAGTGTGTATGGAAGTTTTGTGGGATGGCTGCAGATGGGTTGCCTGTGTGCACAGGGAGCCTCACCTGGCAGGGCACTGCAGGACTAGTGCTTCCCCAGACAAAGTGGGTTGTACAGAACCAAAGGTACGTGAGAGGACAAAGGAAAGTAAAGCATCATGGAATTTTGCTTTCTGATAGCATAAAGGTCTAATCATAGAATTCAGTATGGCAACAACATAAACAAGCAAAGAATGTGAGGGCTGGAAAAAAAGATCCAGGTTTGTATTGTGCCTCTAGAAACATTTTTATTTCCTAGATGCAGTGAAAGTGAAAAGTGAATTTGTGGGGCTCTGCATTGAGTGGGTTATGAAGGCAAGGAAGTGGAGTGGAGCCACTATGCTTCCTCCCAGATCTGAAATAAACATTCAGCAGTAAAATCTAGAAGAAAATGAGTCTGACAGACTCATTCTCCCCTGTGTTTTCTGCCTCCGTGTTTGCCAGGCCTCATTCGGTGAAGCCAGGCCTTGCCCCCTGTGAATAAGGTTCATAGAGAAGGGAAGTCAAGAGATCTAAGATGGAAAGACACACATGACATAGCTTGAGAATGTATTAATTAGCAAAGATTTGGGGAAATGGTGCATTATAATGTAAAAAATCAAACTGTAGGTATACTGCTATGATGAAATGAATCCTAAAGTGAAAATAAATGTGATTATATTTTTACTGCCTAGCATGTAAGTCAGATTCAGAAAGGAAGGAAACTGCAGTCTAGTGAGTCAACACGCTCTTCTTCATCTTTCAGGGGAATAGGGAGCAAATTCAAGTAGAAATATCAATGAGCATAACAGTTAGTTATCCTGGCTCTTCCAGGAGGGAAGATATTTCTGTGTAGTACAAGAACAGAGAAATCATACAGCTAAAACACGCAAATTACACATTGCCCCACAGTGGTGATAAGTGGTTTGGGACTTAGCAGTGGGCAAAAGCTGAATTGCCACCTATTGAGAAGGAAAGGCTTTGGCTGTGGTGTGAGACTGGGGCACTGGAGCGTTTTTGGGCCAGTTTCTTTGGCAGGCGTGAACTGGTTGTACCACAGCTGTAGTGAATTCTTGGGCACTCAGCAGCTGTAATGCTCTGTCAGCTAGAGAAGAGCAGGAGGTTTGGCTCCTGTGGGATGTCAACCAACTGCCTGGGTGCGCTGGCAGCTGCAGAGGGGACTGGTGTTTCCACTGTGGTCTCGAAAGCTTGTCTGCTTGGTGCATGGCATGGCAGAATGAGTGTGGAAGGATGTGGGACAGGATTTCTGTGGTTTTCTTCTCCGCTCTGGTCACACTGTGTGTGGCACCAGGGCTTGGTCTCTGTTTTTCCATGGGGGACTGGACATTGCCTCCACACCTGGCTGAAGTTAGGCTCCGTGCTCTACATTTGCAGTGAAATCGGTGCCTCCCTGCAGGGGGGCTCCCTTTGGGCTGAGTGGATGTAAGGGTCCCAGCTTAGCAGTGCGATTGCTGACCTGAGATTTTATTGATTATGAGCAAGGTTTTCTCTCTGTGCTAGTCTTTCGCATCATCCCAGCCCTATGGCATTGCTGTGGGATTAGGATGGCAGCCTCATTCTGCAGACACTCCATATCCTTTTGGAGAATGAGTCTGAAAGTAGGCATGGACTACCTTAATGCCTCTGCTGTCCTGTTCCTGCCGAAGCTTTGAATTGTGGCTCCTTCACATCCTCCATCTGGTCATCCACACTTGCCTTCACATCTCCTCCCTGGTCTTTGGCAGGTCTATTATCTAGCAATTCCTCTGGCTCCTGTCTAGCCTGCTTGATCACTGCTGCTTCTGCTTTCCTGCTCCGGTGTTGAGTCCACATTCCTGCTTTTCTCAAGCCTCAATGTTATAATCATCACCCTTTCTTTCACTAAGCCTTTGAAACTTGTGTATCTTTCAGTGACTTTCTGCTTTGCACAGGTTTCTTTCTGCTTTTGTACAGGTTGTGTATTATATTAATATGCTTTCTTCCTTTCCTTAGCTTCACTAAGAACTGATCTTTGTCTCTCTTATTTTTTCTTTTTCTTCTTTCCCCCCTCCACTGCATTCACACAGAGAAAAATTATCTCCTCATTTGTGTTTTGACTATTGCCACCACACTGGTCTTTACAAATCCCATCTTGTTGCCATGTCTTGTATCCATGTGTATTGTGTCTATCATTGAAGTGGAAGAAGGGAAAATACATTAAAACAATGGATTAATAGTGGTCAGCTTCAGGACAGCAGCTTCAGCATGGTCTCAACTGTCAGGGCATTAGACATCTCTGCTAATGGGTGTTGTAGTCAGGAGTCTGAGGGAAGGTGGTGGTGTTCTTTGGATACCAAGAGAGTCAGTGTGGAAAAAAACATTTCTCAGGTTTGACACTCAGCTTGCTGAGGATGGGGTCATGCTTTCCATTTACTGTGAACAAAGTGTGGTGTAATGGAGCTCTGGCTGTTAGTCACTGAGAGAATGGTATTAAGGGTCACTTGGAGCGTTGCAGTAGGTAAGATAAATTATGAAGCAGAATGTTTTCATTTTTTTTTTTTTTTAACAACCCAAGCCACTCTTTTTGGGAAATCAGTGTTTAAAAGGTGCTTACTTCTGTTATTGCTGGCATGCAACCTCATTGTACTCTAATTGAAATTGGTAGAAAAGACCCCATTCATTTACTATTTTATAAAAGAGTCAGATCTCTATGATGAGTGATTTTGAAATGCAATTTATATTTTGTCAGTGTGAGTGTTCATTTTGGTGCATCACTTATCATGGATGGTTTAAATGAGATGTGAAAGGTACTTAAATTTGGTGCCATTACAAACCCAACCATCATTTTGAGTACATTTTGAAGGGACAGATACATGTATGAATTTTCAGGAAAAAACAAACATATATACAACCTTGCTTATGTATTCCATGACAGTAATTAGAAATTATTCATTGTCTGAGTTGATCAGCAGTGCAAATAAAACACAAAGCATCCACAGGAGGCAAATTTAGAGCTACTCAATTAATTTGGTTGCATGGGGTTTAAATCGGTAAGACTTTGTCAATTGGTCTCTACCTTGCTAGATTAGTCTCTAGGGCTGTGTCTCCATAGTTGAAATTCAGCAAAGCAAGGGAAGCTGGCAAACCTTGCCTTTGGGCCTCCACGAGCTCTTTCACATCATTTTGGGTGAGCTGCAGTGGAGATTTGACTCCCAGGTCATTCTGTTATTGGGTTCCCATGGGTTACGAACATCTGCATCATTCGAGGGATGTAGGTAATTGTTAGCCACATTTACACTGCATGGTGCTCATTGAAAACTGTAGTAGTGGTTCAGAATTCAGATATCATACTTATAATGCTGAGTCTAGAAGCAGAGGTGGGATGATGGAATATTTTCCAGCAATTTGGGGCTGCACAGGACAGCCACAGAATTGTGACTTCCATCGGATGGTAAGGTGAAAATGCAGAAAGGGAAAACCAAAAGGAAATGCGTGCTTTAGAGGGGTCTGCTCTGGGGTTTTGTTTTGGGTTTTCTTTTCCTGAAATGTGTTTGTAGCATAATTGCAGAGATGATTCTCTTGGAAGAGTACAAATTGCTTGTGTTTATTGCTTATAGCTGCTTTACAGAGCTCCTTGAGTGACAGGAACACCTATGTAATCTGGTGTGATGAATGAGCCAGGAGCAGTGCAGCGCTCCGAGGTTCTGGGGCACAGCGCCTGCTGTAGCTTTGAATTCAAAAGCAATTATCATCTGATTAATTTTATTTATTTGTTTAAATGACTGGAGCATTGCTGTGTTCTATCATTAGACTTTCTCCCACTCAAAAATTAAGCTAGAGTAGTTACTAGACAAAATCTGGCAACCTGCAAATTTGACATTTACCATTTGTTTTGAATTGGTATTGTATTCTCCTTATTCCTTTGCCTGAGTCCTGGGAGACAGTGCTTATCAGAAGCATTATTTTAGAAGTCAAGGTCTTGGAGGAATATGAAGTTTGGAATTTGTTTTAGAAGAGTGTTAATAAAAAAAATAGCAAAAACCAAATAGAAAGGCTCTGTGTGTGGCTTTTTTTGTTTCAACTTATAGTTGTCATACTACTTTAAACTGATCTTTGCCATTGCAATAATTCATTGGCTGGTTTCCTGTGGTAGTTTCCTAAATCCGTAAGCTGTAGAGCTCTGTGGCACTATTTGGTTTCAGAAAGCTTTGTTGCCTGGCTGCAGATTTCTTTACTTACTCCACTAAATCTGCTGGCCCAATAATGAGCATTTTCTACAGAAATATTTTTGCCTCATGACCTAGAGGACATATTTTTAATAGAAATTGAGGGTTATGACAGTCATGTTCCATACTTTGCATTTCCATACAAACATAAAATGTAACCACTCAACCGCCTGGAAATTGGTTTGAAAATAAGTATGGCAAAATTGAGGAAGGTTTTCTTAAACAAATATAAGAAATGTTTGTATGAAAAACGATGGTAGAATGCTTTCACAGTGAAGAATCTTTAAGTGCTTTGACTATGCAAGGGCTTATAACTGAGAAAAAACGTCTGCTGTGATTTTATTTGATTTGGTTCATGGGCACCTCAAGGAACTGTAATTGTGTCAGTGACCTGCTCCAGCTGAAAAGACTGTAACGCAGTAAGATTGATTAACTGCTGGTTGAAAAAAAACCCCTGGTTTTCTGTTATTCTCTTGCTGCAGTCTTAAATATTTTATGGCAACATAGACAAGTTTGTGTGAGGAATGTATGTTAAAATATTTCTGACATTGAATGTCAGAGCAAAAGTCATAAATAACTCTCCTTTTCATTTTCTTTAAATTACAGACATATGAGTCTCTGTCATAATTACATGTGCCAGTTGGAGATTTAAATGCATTTCGCTTTATGCACTTGAGTTATGAAATGAACATTAGTCTTTAAGGAGGTGGGCCAAACCTGACACTTCCTCATGTAGCACAGATATGGTTCGATTTATGCAGTCTTCCCTTCCTTCTAAATGGTTATTGATTAAATAAATAAGTAGGTAATTTTTCTCTTTCAGAACTTTGCTGAAAACACTATGAATGAGCTCCTTGGCTGGTATGGTTATGATAAGGTTGAACTGAAAGATGGAGAAGATATTGAATTCAGGAACTACTCAGCAGATGGGGAAAGCCGCCAGCACATTTCTGTTCTCAAAGGTAACCAGACTTCATGTTTCTGTGCTCATATAAAGGAGGATTAATAGCTCAACCTGTCTGATTGGTGTTGATTGTGAAGCATGTTCTGCTATTTGTTTCTTGGTTGCTTTACATAAAAATATCTGAGATACCTAGTGGTACAGGGAAGCTAATAGGCTACGAGGAAAGTCACTTAACAAATTTGCTGTTGGTGTATTGATATATTGTTATATATTGATATATATCTTCACAAATAATACCTTTTGTGTGTCAGTTGAAAGCCACGTGCCTGTGGTATCAATAAACTACTCACAACTGGAGAAAGGAGGGAGTACTTTCTTAGCAGGGGGGCCTTCAGGAACCCTTTTGCTTCCCATACTAAGGCTGGTTGGCCTACAGCTTTTTAAAATATTGAAAGATTTTAAACCAGAATATTCACACATGTAGGAACAAGTGTGAGTGTTCACAAAAGGCTTCTCATCCATGTTTGTACTATACTGTCTTCTGCACTGTGGTTGAAATTTTCCATGGATGGAATTTGTTTGAGACCTGGATGAATCTTTGTGATTCAAAATGTGAAGGATGAGAGCCTGTTGGTTTGTTCAGTCATTCAGTTTTTGCCTTCTGACTCCTCAGTCTCAGGGAATGGATAGGGGCTTGTTATCAGAGTAAGGAGAAGAGTAGAAAATTGCTGCCCAACAGGAGTTTCTCAAAGGTGAGGTAAAGAGAGGAAATTCCAGCAGTTTTTATGCACTTGGAGTACTACTTTCACTGTGTTTGTGGACAGCAGTGTTTGGCTTTTCTTTCTGGTAGCCAGCAGCAGCACTGTATTCAGTGAGTATTGCAATGGGTACTGGCAACAGAGAGACCCGTGCAGAGGGACAGATGACTAGAAAAAAAGGGAAAAAATTAGAGGTAAGGTGAAACAACCTAATTATGTTAAAATTGAATATTTGCAGCTTGTTAGCTCTGTAACAGCATTGGTGATCAATATTTATTTTTCATTGAAAATGTAATGTCATTAAGCTATCTTTGAAGAAACTTGTGCCTGTGTAGTAATGCACTTAATTTATTTCTGTTTTAATAAATGCATCTTTTACTGAATGATTACTGGCTCCAGTCTATGCTTGATGAAATTTATGACATACGTTTTCATAGGCACATGATAGAAATCATATGTTTTAAGTACCATAGGTGTCGAATGCCTGTGACAGGTAGAAATTTTTGGTGTATGCAGTTTTTGGGAGGGGAAAAAGCACATTTCTTGTTCTGAGAGATGGGATAAGAGGGAATCCCATGGCTGAGAAATATTAGAGAAATTCCTACAAATAAGAATCCTGAGGTGATTTGGGATTAAAGAATTAGAATAATAACTGTCATCATTTTATGCACACTTTGCTGTGATTTCAATATTTTGTTCCTTTCTTTATATTCCTTTCATTATTACTACTCGTATTATTTATAGAGAATAGGAATTCTTTTATTCTTCAGTTCATGCTCCTTGTGCTGGTGAAGTCACAGCACACCAGCTGTGATCACCATGAAAGCAGTAGAAATGAAGTACAAGAATAGGATGCCATTGACTAAATCAGACATACTAAGGCTATGCATGACAAAATAATCCCACCTTTTACCTTCTGCAAAAAGAAAGTGTGAGTTTGATTTTGAAAAAAAATGGAGCAGTCCTGAAGATTACTGGAAAGTATAAATTGCTTTAAAAGGGAAAATACCTGGGTTTTTGGGCACCATTCTTTTATTAGGGTAAGTAATGTAATGAAGAGATTGGTGAAAGTATGTAGGGCCATTTAATAAATTTATGTGTCATACTGTACAATGTGTTCTTTGTGTTTTACAGAAAATTCTTTGCCAAAACCAAAATTACCTGAGGACAGTGTTATTTCACCGTACAATATAAACCCAAGCTACCCAGGGCTTGCCACAGGAAATGGACTATCAGACTCACCAGCAGGGTCAAAGGATCATGGGAATGTACCTATTATTGTCCCATTAATTCCACCACCTTTCATAAAGCCACCAGCAGGTAATTCCTAATGAACATGTAAAAATGGTTACTGTTATTGACAATGTCCTGAGATCACAGGATCACAGTGTCTTAGCAAGAGGGCTGATTTCAAAATGATTAAAATCCAGTCACAGGGAGCTTTAAAAATGAGTGGGGGAGTGGTTTTAATCACTTTAGTATTCTTGAAAATCTCCCCCTAATGCAACGACAACAAACTTGCATTGCTTGTGACACTTCTCATTGTTCTCTCAGCACCTCAACAACATTTGCTTTTAGGAAAAAAAAATGTTCTGGTGAATAAAGCCTTTAACTAAATTAATGGAAGATTATTAAATTAAAAATAGGCTTCATGAAGGAAACTGTGAAAGAGACAAAGCCATCAAATCAATATCATGTCTTTATATCAGGCTAACAGGCTCATACTGGGAAAACTGTCTCTTGATTCCCATTGAAATCCCTGACTGCTGTCTCTCAAGGGTTTAATATGATCTTGACTCTACCCAGGAGACTGCACTGAGATTTTACATTTTCATTAGATTTTTATCAGGAGTGGTTTTCTAACATGCCATTCCTCAGAGTTTGCATGAAAAATGATTTATTCCCCTCTGCATGCTGCTTACTGTAATCTGTGAAAGGCTCTCTTACGGCTACACCAGGGTGATTAATTGTTGTGCTATTGTTTACTGCTCCACACGATGTGAAAATTAGTGAATCCAGATAGGAGCAGGTTGAGTCCTACTTCCGTGGACTTTCCTGGCTGTTGTTGTGGTTGTTCTCAACTGACAAAGGCACAGAGGACTATAGGGTGACATGCAACTCCTACCCAAGAACATCAGCTCTCCACACACAGGGCTAAAGAAATGCCAGCAAGTGCCAGGGTGCCTCTGCAGAGGCAGAACTGCTTGTAGGATCGGGCCCAGATGTTGGATGGTCACCTCTGCCTTCTTAACATTGTCTAAAGGTAGCTGTAAAATGGTGATTGATCCAAGAAAGTGTTTGCCTATTGTTGGTCTTGTAACAGAGTACAATTGCCCCTCCTAAATTATTGTTATGCCATTGAATTTTATCTCTAAAGAAGTATATAATATGCTATGAATAATTTTCAAATGTTACTCAATACATGCTCCTTGCCAAAGACTTTCAATCTATTTTATACGATATTTGCTAATTACCAAAGCTATTTGGGCCCATTCCTGCAGCCTTTACACAGCTAAAGATCTCAGGCCATATGGGCTGGATCCTCAGCTGCTGTTGATTTGGCCCTAAAGCTTTAATCAAGGGCTTGTGCCATCCCAAGCTATTTTCCCCTCCAATCCGAGTCACGAATGAATCCAGAATGCTGAATTTGTGGTATGTGAACACAAGGCTATAGCATGCATTGTGCAAATTGCCACAGTTGCTGGAATTTTATGACACTAAATAGGCAGGAGGAGATTGAACTATGAAGTAGAAAAACAAATTACTGCAACAGTAGTTAAGTGGACACAAGGGAATCCTGGCCAAGTCAACTGCCTTCTGTTCTTTGCCTGTCCACCTACAACATATGATCCTGTGTTCAAATGTACCTCTAAGGGTAATGTGGAGAGAGAGCTTTTCCTAAGTGTTTTCTACCTTTAGGTTTTTAATTAATTCATTAACAACAAATATCGTTGTACCTGCACAGGAGATAACGAATGCATAATCTCTGCCTCCTCTCACTTTATCCCATGGTCGGTAATGAGCAGTAGATTACCATGACTTCTGAGCAGATCAACTTATTTATCTCACCTTTGTTTTAGAGACCAAAGCTTGGGATTGGAGGGGGAGGAGAATCACCTCCTTTGTGGGATTTGCAACAAGCATGGGTAATAATGGTTTTGTTTTATCTTAGGGCGTAGGTGCCCTAGCCGTGATCACCCCAAAGAGCCTGGCAAGAAACAACTGGTAGGAAAGGGAGTACAAAGGCACCAGGAGAGCCAGTGTGTGAGGCAGTGGTCTTGGCACTGCACTTTGACACCGCTTTGTGGGCACAACTTCAAAGCAGAAAACTTCAGAGTGATACAAAGCCAGACAAGAGTAACTCTGGGGATGTTTTCTTGGAGTCCCTCACAAGCACAGGGGATGACTTTGGAAACAGCACAAAGGTGCTTCTTTGACTTGAGCAGGCAAATGATTAGACTCACCTCATTAATTAATAAGGAGAAGGTTTACATCTTGAGCATGGGGGACAGACAGGCTATGACTGACCCGCCACAAACGCTAAAGCATTTATCCACAGTTGAGTGGATAAATGAAGTATGGGGACGAGAGAGAGAGGCAGCAAGAGGCCAAGAGAAAGTTTCAAGGTTAAAATGCTGGGCAGAAAAAGGGGTGTTTGCAGCATGTTTTGTGTGGACACACAGAGGGCAAAGTTACATTACAGGCCAGAGAGAGCACCAGGTAGCAATGCACTGTAGTGACTGGGAGACTAAGAATTAGGATATGTCCAGAGTTTTTGAATGGATGAGAAAAGCTTTTAGATACTGCACAGGAGAAAAATCTACAAGACTTCAATATAACTCGAAAGGGAGTGCCCACAGGTGAAAATGATACCTAAATCATGAACCTGAAGGACAGGAAAAATGGTGCAGTCCATCCTTATTGAGCAAATAATATGGAGTGAGCACTCAGGGAGAAATTATTAAGACTTTAATTCTTGCTGTATTGATCTTGAACAGAAGGGTCAGCATGAATAAAGAAGTGTCAGAGAGGCAGGCTGAGGTATTCATTTGGACAGGAGTGTAATGGTCTGAAGAGGATAAGCAGATCCATTAAATTATTAGGTGAATAATTTTGCTGATAAGATTCAATACAGGTAAGAGGAAGGAGAGCAGAGCATGGGGGATGCTCACAAACCTGAAGAGAAATAAGGGTACTCTGCAATGTGCACTCACAGCAATTGCAGAGGTAGAAAAGACAAAGTCAGGAAGCCAAGGGAAACAGGATTTCTAGGAAGGTAAATATGATTCTTTATCAGAAACAGCTATCAGTTTGAAAAAGAGGAGGAAGGAGTGCTGATATTAAACTGCCTAGGAAGCTGTCATTGAAGATTTCAGCAGACTAGGTTTTCCTTGAGCATGCTGGAAAGCTTTGAACAAGTGTCCTGTTTGCATTCATAATTTGTATGACCAGGCTAAAACCTTCAAGAGTTAACAAAATTACTCTTTTTCCTCTCATGCCTATTTTGCAGTAAGGTGGTTTTTGTTTTGATGGGATTTTTTTTGTTTGGTTGTTTTTTTTAAATTTGAAAACCAAATAATTTTGAGCAGTCTGACTAAAATTTTGTCTTCACAAGCTGTTCAGATTTCTGTTTTAGTCAAATGCAATGTTAGGTTCCAATTTGCTTATATGATTCTGGAAGACATTAGGGTGGTACTAACCAAATATAAACAGCTCCAGTAAAGACAATCTCTCCTTGCTGTACCTCATAATTAAACCCAAAAAAGGCCGAGTTAAATGCATGAGCCCTATGTGGTGCACTGAGTGTCTACAGACTCAGGTTATGGTGTGTCAGTGGGGGATGCTAAATCCAGCCATGGGAAGCCTCTGCCAGGAGACTGCAGGTTACTCAGACGCGGAGGCTGTCTGCAAGAGAACTGCCCTGATCTGCAACACCAGGCAGATAGACCACACTGGAGCAGTGCCCAAATCAAACACGACTTTTTAAGTCAGCATCAGCCATCCAACCTGCATCTGGAAGCATATAAGTAGTCAATGCAGCCTCCAGAAAGCTGCTGTAAGAGTCTCCTTGTGGCTAGTAAGAGTCCATCTTGCCCAGCTGGCTGGTAACTACGTTTAGACCCGGCAGCAGATTCTGAGTGATCTTCAAGGTTAGTCTTGAGTATAGCCTATTGCAACAAAGTGATCCTAAGATTAGTTCTGCTTGATGCTAGAAGGTTCTTATTTTCTGCATAGCAATGTAAAGAAGGCTGGTGGTTTTTTTTAATTGTTTGTTTGTTTGGTTTTTCCAATTTAAACATTGCGTAGAAATAGCGAGGAACAGAAATGCAATAGACTGAAATGAGCCAGAACTAAAAATCTCACCACAGTTGTGCAGAGTATATGGCCTTAGTATGTAGAATGTATGCAAACATTTTGTTGTTCTGCAGCCTTTAATGATACAGTAAATTTGAGAGGGCACTTAGGGTGATTCTGCCCTTTTGCTTAGGCAAGTTTGGACAACTCTTGTTACCTGGGATGAAGGAAGGCTGAAATCAAGAGTAGTCAAAGAAGAATGCAAAAAATTCTTTCAATGCGGGTGAGAACAAGCTGCCTCCTTCCCCTGGCACCTGCTGGAGGCTATGTTGTCTCAGATTTCCCATTCCTTTGAGTGCTCTTTGATTTATTTTATCTTGTGATCCCCACAGCAGTGCCTTGGTAGAGGGGCACAACTGCTGGTTGTTCTGTCCTTTGAGCAATGAGGGTCAACAAAATCCGTCCCTTTCCTGCCCTCTTCTGTGTACAAGTGAGGCACAGAGTGCGCCGACTGCTCTGAGCATCCCAAACAAGAACGGCTTCCTGTGATGCTGTGCTGGGAGGGGAGGTCACTGCCAAGGGACACAGGAGAAGGGGAGGCAAAAAGCATGATGTCATGCAGTTGACTGAGCTTTCCACAGAGGAAAAAAGTACAAGGGAAAAATAATGCTCCTTCCCAAGGTTTTCACAAGATACCGAGTACCTTTGGAGAAAGGGGATGTAAATCCTGCAATGCACTGATGAGTGTCTCGACATAATGTTGGGTTCCAGATTGTAATGACTGGAGTTGTACCAGAAGTTATCAGAAATTTCTGAAGGTGAAAGAGGACTGGGCTGGAGGAATCTGATGAGGCAAAATGTCTTAAAGGAGAAGCATTTCCAGTGCTGACTTGTAAAATCAGCCTGTGACCTAGGCTGGCAAATATCAGATCCAAATACTGAAGTAAATGTTCAGTTATTTTATGGAAAGAAATTAGTGATTTTCTGTATTATGGTTTAACATCACTTTAGAATTAAAGTTTATA